TTGTGATTTTGGGAACTCATTTGTCAAAAAACTTAAGGGGGACACTGCTTGCGATTTGTGATTTTGGGAACTCATTTGTCCAAAAACTTAAGGGGGACACTGCAAAGCCTCCAGGCTGCAATTTCCGATCGTGCTGGCAAAGGCCACGACCATTCACAAAAGTCGGGCGGCCACCTTGCACCAGGGCGTCCACGCCCGACTGGATGCCACCTGCAAGGAGGAGGGTCAGGCTTACGTGGCGCTGAGCCGCTGCCCACAGCAAGCTCTCTGTACGCTGGAATATTTCACCCCGAAGTCCTTGCGGTTCAACTCCACCGCAGAGTGGGCGCTGACCAAGCTGAAGGCCCAGCAGGCCGACCGGGACGGCTCGCGGCTGTGGAAGCAGCTCTTCGAACCGCCAGAGAGCAAGGAGTTCTATGAGGCCCGGCTTGCCGAGATGGGCACTCCAAATTGGTCAAAGATGAAGAGAGACAAGGAAAAGATTCAGGACGGAGAGCAACTCTGGCTCTGCCTGCAATGCGGCCAAGAAGCTCCCAACGCTAAAGCCGGCATCAAGGCACACAAGCGGAAGTGCCCGGCTAAACTCGAAGCCAAAGCGAATGCTAAAGCCAAGGCTAAAATGGCTAAAAGCAAGGGCAAAACCAAGTGCCGGAGCCAAAGCACAAGGCGCCCCTGCGCCCACCGTATCTTTCCATGGCAAGCGACCTGCAGAAGGTTGCTCGTCCAGCGTCCCCCCATCCAAAGTGGCCAGGACAGACGGCGTAGCAGAGCAGAACGGAGCTGCAGGCCCGCAACAGGAGCCACCCTTCTTCGAACGACAGGAAGCAGCGCGGTGTGGAATCCATGCCCTCAACAATGTTCTTGGCTTCCACTGCGTAGGGGTAGAGGACATGACGCATGCAGCGGAAACCTTCTTGTTTGAGAACCCCGACCTGGGCGACAACGTGCAGGATCACCTGGCGCCTGAAGGGGACTACTCCATCGAGGTCATGAGCATGGTCCTCCGCACGAAGGCGATGGCGGAATTCGGACAGCTGCGATGGCAGATGGATATCCAGCGTGTGATGACCTCGCAAGACCTGCATGGCTGCATTGGTGCAGTGCAGAACCTGAACAATCGGCACTGGGTGGCGCTCAGACAAGTGGAAGCCACCTTTCTTTACTGCGATTCCTTGGAGGCGGGCCTGCGACAGATGACCGAGGAAGAGCTTGACGCGCTTCTCGCCGTTCACCCCACCTATGCGCTGCGGTACATCTGAAGCGCTTGTACAGACGTGCCATAGGCCAGGCCCAGCACAGGAGCCCCGACCTGAAGTGTTTTAAGGATAGGGTGTAGGCTGAGCTTCGCACGGAGGGGCTCCTAGCCTTCAGAACAGGGACAGCGCGATTCGCGGACTAAAAGAAAAGTCACATACCTGCCAGATGCACTTTGTACATCGCAAGTGCACGGCTGAATGCGCTTTTGATTGATTGACATGTCTGCAAGAACGCACTTCCCACGCGGTTCGTCTTCTGAGCATTGCACGGCCAACAGCCGCTGCTGTGGATTGGGTCAAATACCGTGCGCTCCTGCAAACGGACGGAGCTGCGTGTGGAAGGCGCGATCTCAGACGAATGTCTTTAATGAATCAGAACTCCCGCGCTGCAAACGGCAAAAGACTTTACCAACATGGTGGTCTGAAACTTGGTCTGCAAAGAGAACTTTGCTGTTCCTCTTTCATTTCCTGGATTTACGGGGTTGCACAATGAGGATTTGAGATCTACAGCCCTTCGTTTTATTTCAGGGCCCCCCTTGGTCTGCAAAGAGAACATTGCTTATCTTTTTGGGCGTGCCTTTCCTGGCTTTAGGAGTCAGTTTTGAAGGAGCTGGATTTGGGATCTAGAGTTTCAGCCTTTCCCCTTCGTTCCACAAACTGCTGCAAGCAAGCCTCTCCAAGGGCCCCGTCAAGGTCTCCAAGCAAGCCTCTCCAAGGTTTTCTCGATCAGCAGGCCTCTCCAAGGGCCCCTCCAAGGTCTTCGAGCAAGCCTCGCCAAGGATTCACAAAAGCTTTTCCACAAAAGTAAAACAAAAAACTGCTCAAAACCCGGTCAAAACTCCGGACCTGAAACCTTTACAATTTCTATAAATCCTAAAGCCCTAAAACCCTAAACCCCAAACCCTAAAACCCAACCCCAAGCAAGTTTCACTAGGCGGGACAGCTGCCTCTGTCTTCCCCCCAAAACATTACCCAGAGGG